TTCTCATAGTATGATAATTCGAGGTATTTCCATATTCATCAAAAAGTTCATCCTCGAATTCAAGCATAAAATCCGAAATTGGAGTTTCCTCCTTTTCTGGTGATTCAGGATCTAAGATAGCTAAAGTTGGTGATGGGTTTTGCAAGGATTCGGGTTCAGCTATCTGGGATTCCTCCTCTAGTGGCTTCTCTTCTACTTCTTCAGGGGCGTCCTCTAAGATTTTCGTAAGAATGCTTCTCTCCGTATTGGCGGAGACATGCAAGAACGAGCCTCCTGAGGCCGTATTAAGACGTCTCGAGGTTTTCCTATTAAGACCCATATAAAAATGTTGAAGAAGAATAGGGTCTTGAATGGCAAGGTTAGGGCCAGTTTTAATGAGAGCATTAAAGAGTTCCTATGCCATGCCTAGAGATTCTTTTTTCTTTTGTCTAAAAGATAGAACCTCTAAACGAAGTCTGACTACCCTGGAGATGGGAACGAATTGCAAGCAAAAGCTATAGCATAGGGCTTCCCAATCTCCTTGTTTACTCTCAATGGTGAGGTTGTACCAACGTTTAGCTTTTCTCATCAAAGAAAAGGGAAAGAGCTTCCATTATAAGGTTTCATCTGACATGCCCGCAATGTGTAGGCATGCACAGGTCTGCTCAAACTCATTTAAGTGAGAATAGAGGTTTTCATCATCTTCGCCTGAAAAGGGTTGATCCTAAACCATGTTGATTAACCGCGGGCGCAGCTCATAGCCAGGTGTTAGGATAGACTTTGAAGATTCTTGTGGCTGTAGGCTTGTGCCCGTGGGTGCACCATATTGGTAGATAGGGGTGGATTCTAGATCCATGGTAAAAAGGAAAGAAAAGATAAAATGATAAAAGTATAGTACAAGATAAAGCAAGACTCAAAGTTAACTCAGCAACCGTTCCCCGACAACGGCGCCTGAAATGCTTGTTGGTATAAATTAATACACACAGAATAATCCGCAAGCACACAGATATTATACCATTGTAGCACTTCACCGAGAGTAACCTAGTTTTATATCGAACCTAAAGGAACGGGGGTGAGAATAATCAATTCTAACTTAATCCAACTTCACAATCAAGGCTAGATAATAGGAGCGTAGAGGAGACTCCTAAGGTCTTCTAGTTCTAACTTCGGTAAGCTTTGTATTCTATTGTTCAATTCTGGAGATATTACTAGAGAAAACACAAGCAGAGTACGTTTCCTATAGTAACAAAGTCCTGTTAGGCCTACTAACGGGAGGTGTACTACAGAGGATTCAATGAGGCTATAAGAGTCACCCTCGCCAGCTACCACCAATCCGAAAAATAAGGTACATCCACGAGTAACCGAGTCTAAGCACCATGTTTACACTACGAATACTACTTTAACCCAGGAGCTACAAGGATTAAAGTACTCAAAAGAGAGTCGCAAACCTAAAAAATAATATGAACAAAATGCTTACTTGAATTAGAAGTCGAATACCAGAGAAATCTCAGAAGCAAGCTCCAGAAGAACTTGATTCCGCCAGGGTACAAGCCGTAGAGTGAGCACCGATAGGCCGGGACTCCTCCAAAACTCTTCCCTCTCACTCTATCTCACTATCTCTAATACAAGACTAGATCCTATCGAGGACTAATCTTCTCTTGATTGCTAGCCCTAATCTTGGTGGACAAGAATTAGGGTTTCTGGCTTCTCAGCTCTCAGGATCAAATGAGCCATCTACCCTAGGGGGTGTAGGCAGATATATATAGGCCAGAGCGTTAATCCTCAGCTCTTTGATCAAACCGACTTGAAATAACGGCTGAGATGCATCCTAGGAGGCGATGGAGAATCGATGTAGCAAAGAGGATGACAGGTTGGGCCCACAGGGGCCGGCGGCCTGGTAGTGGGGCCGGGCGGCCCCACATGTCAGAGACATGTGGTCTCCCTCTGTGGAGAGCCTCCTGGAATCTTCTAGAACCTTCCCACGTTGGTTACGCGGCAGAATTCCGTGATTTCCTTTGACGAATAGGTCCTCCTTGGCGGTTTTCTGATTAAATCCTGCTAGAAACACAGATTCACCAAAACTCGTGGAATTTGTCAGTTTAAACCCCTAAGTCTATGTTGGTGATCTATTTTAGTCATTTATGCAAGGTATATTGACGGTTTGTGATGAATGTTAACTACCATCAACAAACTCCTCAGTGGATAATCTGGTGGGCCTAACTTGACTCTGCAACAAGCTTGGATAAGTCTCTATGTTGCATCGTATGTTCCACTATAACTATGTGACACATGGATAAACCATATGGCAAGGAATATTTAAGTATTTTGCTTACTAGTCATTGTGGGAATCAGCTAGATCAGCAACATTGTATGATCCCATGTGGACAATGGTGGCTAGTGGATCATCCATTAATGTCGGTGTCTGTCAGCTTTTTCCAATGGCTACCGGCCCCTTCACCCTCTATATAAGTTCAACCCCTAGATCATTTTGAGCTACTATTCCACACCATTGTTGCCAGCCCTTACAGAGAGGATAGTGAAGACTATATATGGAGAGCCATCCAAGTCAGTAAATGAGATTTGAGTGTTAGCCTTGACTAGTACCGGTGTTCTTGCTTGGGATTTCTTTGAGTCAAAGTTGAAGACTTGTTACACTTGGACTTGATGATTGTCATGGCCTAGATAACATGTGGCGGAGGACTTGGTGATCTTTCTCGGTGGAGTTCTTGTTAATTACAAAGGCTCCTATTTGTGTACATGGTTTGAAACACATCATTTTGGAGTGGAGAATGGGTATTCATGGATGAATTGGAGCTTAACCAAGTCTAGGTAACACTTTGGTGCTCCATTATGGATTAGTAGGTTGTGGTAACCCGATACCATGGGAAAATCTAGGTGTATCTTTCACTACTACAGGAATGGTTTCTAGGGGCGGCTGGTGAGGCTTTGTAGAGGCGGCTCGGCCAGCCACCCCTACCATACCATCTCTACAAATCATGTATTTGTAAGGCCGGTTCCCAGACCGCCCTTACAAATTGATTTGTAGAGGCGGCTGGTGTTATCAGCCGCCTCTACAAATCGATTTATAGGGGCGACTAGTAACACCAGCCGCCTCTACAAAATCGATTTGTAGGAGCGGCTGTAGTACCAGCCGCCCCTATAATACCTGTTTGTAGGGGTGGTTTAGTCTAGAACCGCCCCTACAGTATGTTTTTTCGCAAAAAAAATCAAATTTATAATTCAAATTGGACCAGAACATATATATATATATATATGCATATATAATTCAAATCTGACCACAAGCACAAGAGCACAAGGTGTTAGTACTGAGGATTTCTACCTAAATGAACGTTACAAGTATGTATACAAACATATAAACTAATGAGGATTGTCGATATGTATACGTTTTGAGAATCGATATGAAGTAACTGGGCTCATGCACACTGGACAGCTCATGCACACCTGTAAAAATATAATTAACTGATTAACTTTACTTGTTAGTAAGCACACCTCCAAAGTTACCGGGCTCGTAACTTTTCTCGTTTGCGGGACAGTTATGGCATTGTTGTCGAAAACACAAAATGTCCATGAGCTATAGAAGCAAAAGGCATCAAAGCCCCTACATCATTTTAACTAATCCATCTTGGCACTTAAGTTTACACTACTCCCTAACCAAAATATAAAACAACAGGAAAGATAATAAACAAAGGATAGAATGGAACGATATGAATCATTGACAAAAAAAATATCATTACTTTCCAAGCACTAATTTTATAATATATCATCACAATTTAATTATCAATAGTTGACCTATGAGGAGTGAGGCCTTCGCATTTCCAAGATACAAAAGGGTATGGCGCTGAGTGCCTTACCAGCTTAGCCAGCAACAGGGAGATGACATGCACTGGCTGAGCACCAGCGCGGAGGCCTCCAGCTTCTTGAGAACATCCCAAATCGTCGTTCTTATGGCTCCACATACACTGAGCAAGAACCCACAACCAGAAAGTCTTTAGACAAGAACTACCCAACTCAGCTAGGTTATATCTAAAGCTCCTGTAAAATTAGACAGAAAAATGAGCATACTTTGGAAGCTTACTTATGAATAATATCAGAATACAAAACAAGGTGAAATTCCATCACAAATTAAATAGTACATGAGCAGACTGTAGCATGGCTCAGAGAGTGTGGAACCAATGTTAGATAAATAAGGGCAGGCACTGTCATATATATGAACTACAGTTTGAATTCTTAAAAGTCGTTGCCAAATTGCAAACGTGCCACTAATCCATGAAGGACAATATAACTAATATTCATATATAAATACTGCATGTTGAAAGACAAAACTTTAATTATAGGATTATTTTTTAGTTCAAAGGTAAGGTCCCCTAAATACCTCTGAATTTTGACTCAGTATTAGAACTGCATTTTTAGACAGACAACTTTAACATAGCATAACTCTCAACCCAGTGCAGTATACTTTGATGGAAAGTTTGGATAAATTTCTACGACCTCAAACTTATCAAATTTTACGGGATAACCATTTAATATTCTCTAAACTAATGGTCTAACTGTAGTTTCAGAACATTGACAACACAACAATAATATTCACATAGGTATAACTCCTACATCTTTCATCGAAATACTATTGCCGGCAGTTAGGTCCCAATTATATCCACAGCTTTGTAATTATGAGTTTTTTTGCAGGAAACAATATTTCCATTACCTAATAATCAAGAAACAAAAATATGGTGAAGATCCATCAAAACATCACTGCCAGCGGTTAGGTCCCAATGATATCCACAGCTTTGTAATTATGAGTTTTTTTTACAGGAAAAGTGTTTCCGTCACCTAATGATCGAGAAACAGAAACATAGTGAACATCCAACTCAAAGTTTAACGCCTAAACCTATGCCCTCATCCTTCTCCACCAGGAATCCAAACAAAAAAATGTCTCCAAAATCTAGGTCTTGGTAAGGGGAAGTTCTTACTTATATTTCTTGAAGACAACCAGATGACGGGTGCTATTCATGGTCTGGGTAGGTCCGCACAACAGCTGCACCCCTCGCCGCGGTGGCGGCCGCAGTTCCAGCAAGCATCCTGACCTTTTGTGCCCTCCCCATTCTTGGTCCCGCCAGCGTCCCTGTATGCACAACGAGCGACAGTTAGTGCCGTATCATGACCCTAGCACACACGCGGGAGAAGGGAGCCGGGAGATGGAACTCACCTTGGGCGGCACCTTTATCGGTGTCTCGAGTTGCCCCATCCCGCCCGACGTCCTCCATCGCGTCGCCCAGATCTAGTCCAGGATCACGGCCGCTCCTCCCACAACTGCTGCCGGCACATCTTGGCCACTCACCACCGTTCAGGGCGAGGCCTGGTGGCCAGCGGCCGGCACCCTGCCCTGATCCGTAGGGGGAGGAGAGGAGTCGGCGAGTCGCGCGTGTAGAGGAGAGGAGGCGTCGGGGGAGTCACCACGAGCACCCTGCAAGCCCATGTGACATAAGCAGCCGCCGTGCCCTTCACCCAAACCCTAGGCGCGGGCGCTCCTGCGCGTCGAGTGGAGCCGCCGCCGCCATCTACCAACCCCGCCTCTCATTTTTTACTTCTAGGCTGCGAGTTCTATTTTCTTTTTCCTAGAGAAATCGAGACAGAGAAGGTGGGATTCAATCCGTGGCCGTGGAGGGCGTATTGGGGGCGTATTAGTGGAGTTGCCTCTGCATATCAGCCGCCCCTACAAATCGACGCATTTGTAGTGGCGGCTCGTATTACCAGCCGCCCCTACTATGCCATTTATAGGGGCGGCTGCTGTGCTGGAGCCCGAGCACGCTACTGTAGGGACTACTCCAATGCCAGCTGCCCCTAAAAAAGTCCCGTTGCTACAACTGTTTTTCATGTAGTGTTTCTCTCTCTTTCATTCTTGCCTTACTTCTGGCTTGAGCTTGTCTGTGTAAGTTCCTTGATAACTAGGATTGCATGATAGAGTGCTTTGTTTAGCTTTTATTTCTTGTCATTAAGGGCATGTTTCTTAGTGTGATCTTTTGCTAAGGACATGATTAGGTGTAATGGCCCAAGGGACTTCTTAGAGCCCGTTTGGTGCGGCTCTTGGTGCTCCTCCGGCTCCTACTCCTAAGACACTGTGCAACATTTTTTACTGTAGCATGACAAAAAAACGGCTCCGGCTCCTCCAAAAATGTACTAGAAAGAGGAGGAGGAGCACATTTGGAGCTTCTCCCGGCTCCGCCACAGTAGTGCTACAGTGCCGGAGCCGGAGCTGGGAGAAGCCCCTCCAAACGGGATTTTAGATTGCTTTTAATACAATATAATTAGGGGTCAAGATGCTAAGGGGTTTGAAATAATAATTTGGAATGGCCGAGATTCTTGTTTAATTTTTAGAGCCTAATTCATCTTCTTCATGGAGCATCTCCGAGAGTTTCTAAAACACACTCCTGTCCTAGAATTTTTAGTAAAATTGATAAAAATATATCTCGAACAGCTCGTAATAATACTAGCTAGCTCCTATTCTTTTAGTACTCGGAAAAACCGAGGCCATCACGCCCAAAGTTACGCGACCGCGGATCCTGCTCCGTTCCTCCACCCACCTCTCGCCTCTCCCCGCGGCGCTCGATAGCTTCTCCGATGGGTACCGCTCTATCGACCTCGTCAGGCGCCGCGAGGTCCTCCGCTCCCTCTCCATCGACTACGACGTGGAGGCGGATTAGGGGAAGGAGGGTGTCGCGTCGGCGCTGTACCTGATGGAGCGGGGGCTCCGGGATGCACTCCGGCCCCGGTACGTCTGTGCGTCGTCTAATCCCAATCCCAGGCCATGACTGCGACCATTGCCAAGCCAGGTGGTGGCTGCGTCGTCGCTGACTCACTAGTACTCATGCTGCCGTGCTTCCGGTCCGACGACCCGCCCTGGCCCAGCATGATTTGCGAACGAGGTGCTGAGGAGCGCCGTACCGTCCAGACCACCGGCGTGGCGGAGTCCTTTTCCTCTCCGTACAGCCATAAGGAAGCCAGCCATGGAAACTTTTGTGTACGTGCTTGTTTCTCAGGAAGAAGATGATGGAATTTACAAAAATGCCACTGAACTAATATATTGTACCTGAAATAAACAATCACGTAGAAAGTTTAGGAGTGGTTTTTTAAAACTGTTGGAGAAATTTTTCTTTTATCCTTCTAATACTTTTTAGTGGCTCGGGAAACTTCATGCTTTAGGAAATAATTTATTAGGTATTCTTGGAGACGCTTAGATCCTTAGAGAGAGCGGGTAAGACGGAGGGACCTAACAAGTGCAGTTGATTTTTTGAACGCAATGGACCTTGCACCGGCTTCCGTCCTACTACTACTATCCCACGGACGAAGGGAGTGCATTCTGAGACCGTGTTTAGCCGGGGGAAAGTTGGAAATTTGGTTAACATAGTATTTTTGTTTTTATTTGATAATTAGTGTTCAATTATAGATTAATTAGACTCAAAACATTCCTCTCGTAATTTTTAACTAAACTATGTAATTAGTTTTTTTTTTATCTATATTTAATGTTCCATGCACGTATCGTAAGATTCGGTAGCATTTTTTGAGAAAATTTTTCGCGAACAGGGCTCGAAACGAAAACGTACAGCAGTCCAAATATAACGCGCTTAACCATGCGCAACAGCTGGGCGAGACGTGGAGTTCCACCACATCAGTCAGTCCTCAGTCGATCAAACCCGATAGCCGATCTGGGAGCTTCCATGCATGCATGCCAAACAGGGTGGTGCTGTTCCTGCTCTCCATTCGTAGGACAGCCGCGGTCGAGAAGAGACGTCATCATCCCATCCGTGACCGGAGGCACAAAATAAGTAGCCAGTGGTAGCAGGGAATACCACTGCTCACTGGCGCTCCCCTCGCGTGGATCCAACAGGAAGAGGACAAGGACACACGACGGTGTCCTTGTTTAATCATGAGTAGATACGGCAGTAGCATTTAAGCCTATTTAGCATAACTTCACCAGTGAAGCGGTGAAGCTGTTTTTTATATCTTTATAGTAGATAAAAATAATAACATATTCAAAATATACCCTTATCTTTTCATCTCCTCTCCGGTTTTTCTCACGTCTTTCCTTCTTCCTCTTGAACCATCTATTGCTGCCTCGGTAGTGCCCGCCCGAGCCCGACGTCTGCGCCTCGGCAGCCCTGGCGTCCGCTCGTGCAGCGAGCCCCGGTGGCCTTGGTGGCTGCACCCCGAGCCTCAGTGGCCACGTGCCCACGTGGCCAGCCCCGTGGCTGCGCTGCTCGCGCTCCGGTGGCAGAACCTGCGCACAAGCCTAATGGGTGCAAATTTGACATGGGGACGTGTTGGGGCTCACTTGTGCCCCATACGAGAGCAGGTTTAAAGGGCTTCATATGTGAAGCTGTTTGCATCTAAAGATATAATTTGGTGTGGCCACGGCGCGGCCTCAGGGTGGCCACGTCGTCGGCTTTTCGCGGCCGTTCGATCGGCCGCGCGGACGGCCCAGATCGGGCGAGCCGCGGTCGTTTTACAAAAAAACCCTTTAAGTTTTCGGAAATCAACCCGCGCTCTAGACGTCCTTTCAGAATTTTTTACAAAAAACGTCTCGTATTATTTTTAAATCAACGCTCAGTCCAGACCGGGTGGACACTGTTTTGTTTGCAAAAAAGACCTCCACTTTATCGAAAATCAACTCGCGCTCCCCAAACACTCTCACCGTTTTTTGCGAAAACATCCTCAGATTTTTCTCAAATCAAAATACAGCCCAACTTTGATTATATCTTTTTTTTTTCTCCAAAAAATACGTGTGGCCAGTGGACCGCGCGCATGGGCGCGCCCGAAAAACTAGTAAGTGTAGTTTGGCAAAAAAAAACAGCTTCAAACAACTTATTTATCTGGTGGTAAAGCTAAGCCAAATAGAGCCTTCCTGTCCTATCGGGGGCAACTTACTCCGGTCCAATGCAAAACTTCTCATGTGGATATTTGACTTGTGGTTCGGAAAAATGTCGTGGGTTTCTTTGTCATAAAAGAAGACAAAATGTCCCTTCGATGAAAGTTACTTTTCATATTTGACTTTACACCACGTATTTTACACGTCACATTAACTTTGTTCTAAGTCAAATATTATTATCTTTGATCATCCACTTTAAACAGTCTCTATACTTTCACAACATAGATTATGCAAGTATTTCTTATAATGAATCCAAAAACATAAATCTTATGCCGTGGACTTATATAAATTGTTTGAAATCGATGGCCAAAGATACAAATTTGACTTAGGACAAAGCTAATACGACATGTAAATAAAAACGAAGGGAGTATATTCTATACATTATTGATCATTAATTTCTTCTAAAATGTATTCTCACTGTCTGCTAAGTTGGAGTCTAGACAAAAAAAAAGATACAAGTAGATTTGACTCATAATATACAAGTATTTCATAATGATAGTGCGAATAATTTTTATAGGAAAAAATAGAATAAATCCAGTGCTATTATATATGGTCAACAACTATTAGAGTAGCAAAGAGCGTGGTTCATTTTGTTGGGTTTCTTCCGGTGAATCTACGTACTCACCAAAGTTTAAGTTCTCAACATGTGTGCTCGTATTTTTTAGATTTCTTCTAAGATTTTTTCAGTAGCAGGCGGCGTACGCATCAACAGCGGGACGTAGGATGTGTGTGTGCATTCATGGAGGATTTTTTCCCAATGAGTTCGAGGGATTATTTTTCTTCGCGTCACAATCACTCTTCTTATTAGTAACTGCTAGATATTTAGGCAATTTCAGTAGCAATTTAATCTAGAAAATAATAATGCCAAGTTTGTGACATCAGACATGTGCACGTGTGATATAAGTGTCACAAACATGTAGACGATACTAATTATTATGATTTTAATCGCTAAAAATAGGGGATGAACTACAACATACCCCGCGGCACCAGAGCCGGTTGCGCTAGTCGACATTGCGCTTGTTGGAGTAGTCGTCTCGCTCGATGCAGTGCAGAGAGGTTGCAGTGCCGATCTCCCGTCACCGCCACGAACACCGAGAAGAAGATGAGGTTGTCGTACGATCAAGCAGTCGCGTAGTCGCTCCCCAAAACCCTGATTGCCGGTCTTCACCTGAGCAGGTGAACTCACGAACGACGCCGGTTTCGGAGGCCTGCTCTCCCTATTCCCGTCGCACAGGAACTGGGACGGGGATGGCAGATAGCAGCACAACCGCAGCATGACGCTGTTCTAGCTATGTGTTCTCAACTCTCGCGAACAAGAGAAGGAGTGCTCCTTTTACGCAG